ACAAAACAAAAAAAAAAAAAAAAAAAAAAAAAAATATATATATATATATTGCACTCAGGAGGCTGAGGCAGGAGAATCGCCAGTTCAACAGCCTGAACTACATAGTGAGACCCTGTTTCAAAAATGGAAAAAGATTTTGCTGCCAAGTTTCCACAGAAGTGTCAGTCCACAAAGGACTACCAGTGACACAGAAGCAGGTCCTTCACCACAGGCAGTGCTGTTGCAGAACACGGGAGCTGGACTACACGAGGAACTTTGAGGGGTGGTGCATCCCTTTCGCTTCTCCTCCAGCAGGGTCAGGCTGGACGGGAGGTTGTGGTGTCAGGCGCTGCCCAGGCAGGCGGGGCTCCTGTTGTAAGGACCTGCAGTATTTGAACAAGCTCAACGGGGCTCTGGAAAGCATTTGGAGACTCTGAGCTAAAAGATGGACTGATAAATTTTACCAAGAAGAAACACCCAGAAACCCTTGCCTTTATCCAGCATTTATGACAAAGTGCTGTTATGCTTACTATCAGTGTTATATTGTATACCATAATTTCTTTTTTTTTTTTTTTATCTTTTTTTGAGACAGGGTCTGGCTGTACAGTTCATGCTAGCCTTGAACTCACAGTGGTCCTTCTGCCTCAGCCTCTTGAGTGCTGGGATTACAGGCATGCGCCACCACATCCAGCTTTATATTATAGTTTCTTGAGTTGGGTAAGGCTACTCTTAAGAACCTCAAAGTACTTCACACATATCTCTGAGAAACCAGGAAAAATGGGAATAATTATTTTAACAGTATGCCTTACCTAAAATTTATTTGCTCACATTCATTCAGAAAATCAAATTCTTTACTTGGCATTTTTTTTTAGTACCGGGGATTGAACCCAGCATCTTTGCATTGAGCTACACCCCCAGCCCTTTATTTTGAAACAAAGTCTCATAAGCTGCAGAGTTGCCCAGAAAGGGCTGCAATTTGTGATTCTGCTTCAGCCTCCCGCAGAGTCCTAGGGATAGGAATGCACCACCAGGTATGGCTCCCAGCCTCCTGTTAGCAATTGTTTTTGGTACCCAGGATTGAACTCGGGACTTGTACTTACGAGGCACATGGTGGCACCATTGACCTAAATCCCCGACCCTTAGCAAGCAATTTTGTAGTTACCCACAGGCAAGCAGCTTTCTAGCTGTACTTTGGAAACCAGAAAAACTTTCATTTCTTGAGGAAGGAGTTTTCCTGACTGGAGATTGCCCAGGGCCTGGGATGGTTCAGTCCCCTGTGCTGTCCTTATTCCTTCGTTATACTAACATTCTGGATTCTCCTTGTCTTTTGTCGTTTTTTTTTTTTTGTTTTGTTTTTTTTAGGACAGTTTATTCTGTGTGGTAGCAGCATTTGGCTGTTTCTACTATTGAATGTTTGAAAAACCTGGGAAAAGATGTGACCATGAAGAAATCTGAACTTTTTAATATTGTTTAATATCTTGATAAAATAAAGTGTGTTGGCAGTTTAGCAACCGAATCTATTGTGTTTTAGGCCTTATGTTTTTAGTGTTTTGAGTCTGTTACAGTAGGTTATTTGGAGAGTACAGAGAAAAGTTGGGGACATTCTTATTTCAATTTTCAAGCAGAACCAACAAAATATTTTGGTAAATTTCCTATCAGTTCATTTGCAGGGTTTGCATTAGGACTTTCAGGAGCATCCTTCAGTTGCTGCATTTGTTCCATCAGGTCTACCGCTGTCGCTGCCATTTCCTTATGGAGGAACTATTTTCTAATCTTTCCCTATTCCCCAAATACAGATTAATTTCTTTGTACGTAAAGCTTTCTCTCTTTCCTCAGCCCTTATCACCTGTGACTTACACACTTATGAGCTGAAACACGTGTCCGTTTCTCCAGGGTTTGTCCAGGTGTCACCTCTGAGACATTCCCAGCTGTGTATGGAATCTGATTCCCTTCGCCTCTCCCCGATCCCTTTGTTGGTCACTCTGCGAAGCCCTCCTTTGTGGTGATATTCCTAGAGGACCTGGCGCCTTCTCCAGTTGGCTGTCCTTATTTGGGTTTATCAGCCATGTCGAAACTTAAAAGGGAAAGGGTCAGATTTAAATCTTTCTTCTTCCTGGGGAGCTCTCAGCAGGTGCACAAGTGTAGCTACTCTCTTTTCTCAGGCACATTCTAGTCAGCTTTGTAGACCTAAATAAATCAATAAGTAAAAATTTAAAAACACAGCGAATACACTAAAAAGTTTTACATCTTTCATAATATTCTGTACCCACTTGCCTTACATGTACAGAATCAAAAGGAGGGCTGGGGATTTGGCACAGTGGTTCTGCTGCCTGCCTTGCAAGCACAAGGGCCCAAGTTTGATCCCGGTACCACACACACATACACACACACAGCCAACAGAATCAAAAGAAGTCCTCCAGAGGTTCATTTTGGCAAAGGAAGTTTCTCACCTTACACCCTGCTGCCTGTGTTTTCATACCAGTGCCCTTGTTGAATTCACTCAGTTCATGCTTTTTATGCTTTTTTTTGTAGGCTTTTGAGACAGGGTCTCACTACGTAGTTGAGACTGACCTGGAACTCACTATGTAGCCCAGGCTGGTCTCGAACTCACAGCGATCCTCCTGCCTCAGCCTCCCAAGGGCTGGGATTACAGGTGTGCGCCACCACGCCCACCTCTCAGTTCATTCTCGTGGGTCATTCTTTAGTAAGCAGACCTTGATCAAAGATAACAAGGCAAGGCAAGGCAGCGAGGCAACCCTATAAACCTAGCTGTGAGAGGCAGAAGGATTCCAAGTTCCAGGTCAGCCTGGACAATTCGGTGAGACCCTTCCCAAAATAAAAATAATTTTAAAGGGGCCAAAGATATAACTTAGTGGTAGAGTGTTTGCCTGGATCGCTGGAGGCCCCGTGTTCACTCCCCAATAACACACATACTACGTACGCATGCACGTACGCCTGTAATCTCAACATTCAGGGAGGCTGAGGCAGAAGGATTCCAAGTTCCAACCCAGCCTGGGCAACTTGGCGACTTATCGACTGTCTCAAAAAAATCAATCACTGAAAAGGGGCTGAGGAGAGGATGTAGCTCAGTGCGAAGGCCCTGGGTTCAATCCCCAATACCGAAGAGAGTCAGGAAGAAGAAAGAGGTCAGGCACAGAGTTTCACCGTAATTGGTGAACACTCGTTCCATAACCTAGGAGGTAAAAGTCGTAGCTTGACAAACTGCAGCGAGAACGCTGGCAGTTCACGTCCATGTGCCGCGAGGAGGAAGTGTCTTCACGCCCAGGCGGAGACCAACCCTTCGCCGTCTACCGCAGGTCTGGGGTTTCCACTCGGTCCCTCACGCTCTCCTCCGGCCTCTGGGGAAACGGAACTACTGCGTCCAGAACAGTGGTTTCCGGGCAGCGGTCGCGGCCGGATTGACAGGCGGGCGGGCAGTGGGCGGAACTTCCGGCCGCTGTTCCGTCAGCTGCCTTCTCCGGGCGTCTCCCCGCAACCCTCCTGAACTCTTGTCCGTGACGCCGTGCCAGGAAGAGATCTGAGGGGAACGGGCCCCGGGGAGCGTGAGCTGCTGGTGAGGACCCGGTGTGTGCATAATGCTTGCGGCCCTGTTGGAGGGGAGGAACCACGGGGCTGGGGCCGCGAGGGGAGTGTGAAGCACTGGCTGAGAGGCTACTGTGACCTAGGGACAGTGACAGTGAGGGGACTGTGACCCAGGAATAGCTGCTCGCGAGGAGTCTGCGACCCAGGAGCGGGGAGTGCGGAGGACGCGGACCCCGGGGAGCACAAAGCAGAGGCTGCAGCGGGACCATGCCCGAGGCAATGGCTTCCAGGGGACCGTGACTGTGGGGCAGTGACTCGATGGATGGGACTGTAAAGATTTTGATCGAAAGGAACATGGGGCAGCGCCTGCGAGGGAACGCGGACCGAAAGGGGCTGGCGCGGAGGAGAGCGTGAGATCAGTAACAGGGTGGTTCTGAGGGCCGAGTGGGTGCAACGGGGGGCAGAGTGGCCGCGGGCGGGCAGCGACAGTGCTTTGTGGACTTCCGCAGGCTGACCGAGTTTAACTCTGTGGATGACTTCTGAGGCTGGGACACTTAACCTCCCCACCGAGTTCGTTTCACCAGAATGGGAAGTTTGTTTTAACATCTCCTAGACTGAGTTCTAGCCTATTACTGCGTTGTGAAAGGGGGCGCCTGAAGATTTTTTTTTTTAAATAGAAGTGGAATAGGATAGAAATTTTCACTGTGTTCACATAAGGATGTTGTTTCATGAAATGTGTTTCAGTTGTGTGTATGAGGTTACTATGTAAAGTGGGTTTTGTACATCCTGCAATATACGAAGTTAAATGTAGTTACCAAAAACCAAAAAACCCAAAAGCCTGAGAAACATTTGATTAGATTATTTCTGAGGTCCCCCCCATAAAATGTAATGTTTGGAAGTACAAAGAAGCAGCTGGGAAAGTGGGATCTGTGCCTGGGGCACAGATCTTAGTTGAGAGAGACAGAAGTTATATTGAGCTGGGACAGTGACATTTATAGATGCAGTAGGGATTTAAGAGTTGCATTAGGAGAAAATTCTAGGAATAGACATTGAGGAGGGGGAAACTTTGATATTAGGAACAAGGCTTGGGAAGGGAATTGAAGATAAAAACAAAACATTCTGCCAAGAATAAAATGGAGGTAGGGAGACATGACCTTCAGATTTGGTTGAGTCTTGACATTTACTGATTGTGCAAGTATCTAGAATTGCTAGTTATAAAACACAGGGAATTTGGGGCCAGGGATTTAGCTCACTGGTTCCTCTGCCTGCCTCTCAAGCACAAGGTCCCCAGTTCAATCCCTAGTGTCCCGCCCCCGCAAAAAAAGATATTTGGCACAGTAACAGTGGTTAAACAGATAATGACCATCATGGGGAAAGAAGGGGACACAGGGGTAATGGGGTGATACTGGGGGTGTCAACAGTGGTGACTGGAGAGACACACAGGAGAGGCTTTCATGTATTTGGCTACCCAGCTGGTGAGTTGTGCACTGGAAGCTAAGCTTGACACAATGGGAATAGTTCTGCACTGTAGGTAATTCAAATGAAGTTTAGCTGCTGGTTTTATTTCCTACTTCTTCCCTTTCTGGAAGGTTGTTAGTGATGCAGTTGAAATTAACTAAATAGAGTGTTATAGCCCAGCTGGGTGGAGGCCTATAATCCCAGCCCTCTGGGAGGCTGAAGTCTTTTGGAGGATCAAAAGTTTAAGCCTGTGCCAGGTGTGGTGGCACACATCTGTAATCCCAGCTTCTGGGAATCTGAGGCAGGAGAATTCCTGAAAGTTTGAGGCCAGCCTCGGCTATTTAGTGAGTTCAACACCAGTTTGAACTACAAAGGGAGACCCTTCCCCCCAACCAAAAAAAAAAAAAAAAGCTGGTGTGGTGGCCCATGCCTGTAATCCCAGCACTTGGGAGGCTGAGGCAGGAGGATCACTGTGAGTTCCAGACCAGCCTGGACTATATAGTGAGTTTCAGGTCAGTCTCAACTATATAATGAGACCCTGTCTCCCCCCCGCAAAAAAACAAAAACAAACAAAGAAACAAAAACTTCAAGCCCAGCCTGGGTAATTAGCAACTTGGAGAGACTATCTCAAAATGAAAATTTAAAAAAGGCTGGGGATGTAGCTTAGTGCTAAAGGCTCTGGTTTCAATTCCTGGTACTGTAAAATATAAAAAATTAAATGTTACTACCTGCTCCTCTCTCTTTTGAGACAGTGGCTCACTGTGTAGTTCAGGCTGGCCTTGAACTTGCAGTGATCTTTCTGTCTCAGGCTTAGATACCCTGACTCTAAAAACCAAAACAACAACAACAACAACAAAAAGGCTAATAAAAAAAGCTTGAGAGGGCCAAGGATTTAGCTCAGTGGTTTCAGCACCTGCCTTGTAAGTGCAAGGTCCCAAGTTTGATCCCTGTACCAAAATAAAAAAGCTTGATCATTTTAATTAATCACACTATTAAGCTGGACGTAGTGGTACACACCTGTAACAGCACTTGGGAGGCTGAGGCAGGATCGCCATGAGTTCAAGGCCAGTTTGGGCTACACACTGAGTTCAAGGTCATCCTGAATTACATAGATCCTGTTTCAAAAAAAAATCCAAACACTCACACACACACACAGACACACACTCTCTCTCTCTCTCTCTCTCTCTCTCTCTCTCTCTCTCTCTCTGTTAATCTGGTTCCTTTATCATCATCCTGTCCTCTACAAACTTGTGCACTTTGTAATGGAGGAAGAGAATTCAGAAAGGTTTTGAAATGGGAAAATGAGTAGTGAGTAGTGGAGGATAGCCTTTGGCTAAAAAATGCCTGTTTACATTTTTATCTAGACCAGAGGTTTACTTGACTTACATTCTGCCTAACTAAAAGGAACTACTGAAGTGTTTTTTGCAGATAGCAGACTATCTGTTTTTTTGCAGATAGAGGTGAAGACACTTAGCCTTGGAGACTATTACTCTCTCTGGGACCTTTGTGTTGGCTGAATGAGGTGATTCTTTTTGACCTAGTCACTTTGGACATTCTCTTTGAAAACCAATCTGCTAGCTTGATTGATAAGAATGAGCTTTATTTACCCCTCAGCCTATGAATCACCCTTGCACAAACAGGTGGGGTTTTATTTTTCTGGGGGACCTCCTTAAAGGAGAATGGTCTAGTCAGAGCCTGGGATTGAGCAGTCCCAGGTTACTTGATGTGACCCTAACATTGGCTCGCTCTGTGATCATGGGAATTGTGACTGCTTTCTCTTGTTTTAAATTCCCCACATACATGTCATTGAATTGTCTCTATTTTACTCTTTGCAAACCACGTTAGTAAGTAGGTATGTAGCGGGCTTTTTTTTTTTTTTTTTTTTAG